ACTAGTTCCGATTTACAAGTCTCACTCTGGTGAAACTGTGAACTCTTGTGAAGCTGGAGCAAGCTCGTCGAGCCACCATGGTAAAACCTGTCAACTCATGTAAGCTCATGAAATAGCTCTCTATGAACGCGATAGGAAGCAACAAAAGTGCAAAATGCCCCCTCGCCGCCGAACTGCGCCCGTATGCTATACTGTATAGTTGCAACTTACTTTCACAAATAACAGTGCCTTACAGCTCAGAGAATAGGGTAGCAAAACTTTATCCGGCGCAGTTCACTTTGGTTAGGGCATTTTGCTGGCTCCCGCCGATCTCTGCGATACCTCTCATGAAGAACTGCACATTCCTGTCGAGCTATACAATTGCAGGAGCTTCGTTTACACTTGACAAGAGCCTACAGGTCTCACCAACAAAGGAACTAGCAAAAAAATAACTAGCGAAAGTGCAACATTAGCCCCCTCGATGCCGAACAGCGTCGTTTATCCTCACCATAACTCTATGAACTAATCCAATCCTGTCGAGTAAGACAATAAATCAAACCAGTTAATTCGAGAGTAGTTGATTCGCACTTTTGGCACTGTACCATATCAACGATATTGCTATTGCCTAGCCGCAAGTGCACCGGCTACACAAGGCTTCAGTCACGAGAGTTGGGGTCCAGAAGTACTATGCGAAGCCTCTGCTCACGTCATTCAACACGTCATTCAATTGGATTAGCGCAACAACTCCATAAATTAAATTATTCATCAATATTTCATTGAGAGAACCATTTCTGAATTCTGCTGGTTTTTGATAGAACGTTATACCTGACAATAGCCAAAAATGTGAGCCATTATTGAGAGGCTTCTCCCACAATTCAGTTAATACTCTTGATATTACAGTAAAGCGCATAATGGGGGCATTTTGATGAATCCAGCGGTCACGTGCGATACCTCCTGTGGACACCTTAAAGTCCTGTAAGCTATAGCTACACAGAAATTCACAGTTCTTTGTACGAGCTTTGGCAAGAATTTACAGGTCTCGCCAAGGTGACACGTGTGAAACCAATATGAACTGATAAAAGAAACTAGCAAAAGTGGATGCCCCTCCCAAGCCGAACAATGCGTGCAGTACTATAGAGAAGATACTTGGAATCCATATGCAAAGCAGTAAGAAGCATATGGCTCTATTCGTCTACTAGACTTTAGACTCACCAGGACTTCGATACCATCGCGTTGCTACGTAATCGGTGTACATTTCTTGAGGATCTGAAAACCACATAGAATCCTTGCAGTAACCTTTTCTCGAAGAATTTAATTGCCCGGGAGGGCTAATGGAACCACAGGGATAAAAAGGGGTCGGCATCAATGATTTAATGGAGTTATCGGTGAAAAGAGTGTCATATTGGAGTGGAATAATTGGGATAAACACCACGTAATGGAATGAAAATGGAACTCACTGATTATCCTAGCGAAACCGAAATCAGCCAATTTGACTACGTCATTCTTGGTGAGGAGGATGTTCTCCGGTTTCACATCTCTGAAAGTAATCGAAACGGAATTCCAGCTGTAAAAGGGGGGGGGGGTTAGGGAGGCTGTCAGACGATTAGATCTCTGGATGACTAGAAGGGACAATAGGGTATAGACAGAGAAGTAGCACAACTCAAATTTTTTTTCTCAATAATTCTGATTTGCCCGAGGACTAATAGTGGGAGCGATAATTTCAATTTCTTCCTCTCCTCTGGTAAGCGCTATTATCTGAGACATCCTTGCATCCCTTCTTTGGGAGTATCAACAAGTGACAGGACATGATCTATAGACCATAAAAAATACTGGAGAAAATACAGTCGTTATCACTGGAGCAAGTGGGGCGTGTCAGCGGGGCGTGGAATTCGGCACGGTGCCGACCCCTTTATCGTCATTCCTCAAGCGTCGGAAGCAGCGAAATTCGAAGACGAGAAACAAACTGGCGCCGCGCCAAAGCCAATATCCTGACTGACTCCAGGGATAACGACCGTACCGCTGCAGATGGAGCGCGCGGCCATTAACTTGAACGAGATCGCCGCGGTCACGTCGACTAGCAAAAGGGGTATACTCCCTTTCCCTTAGCACCAACATATTCTGCCATTTCTTCGAGATTTCTGGGGTTCCCGCCGAAGCAGTTCTGAAAGTTTTTAGGGCAGTGGACCTAGAAGCTTTTTTGTGGGAAGAATTCGCGTGAAACACAGCACATGTGGTCTTCTTCGTTACGGATGCTTGGGTGTGCCAGTGGGCTAAGTTCGGGGCAGCGCCAACCTTTCACCAACTGCTGACGGGGTCATGTAACGGTGGAAATTGGGCTGGCGCCACGCTAAACCCACCCCCTGACGCGTTCCTACGTCCGCAGCGAACAAGACTGTGCAGTGATCATCGGAGCGTCGAGTGGAGGCAGTTATGCTTGGCGCGGCGCTAAGTATAGACGCCTCCGCTCACTATGCTATGCTTTGACGCGGCGCTAGTCTATTTCTTTCAATGGCTACCCGTCCCATAGTGGTAACGATTGGCGACGACGCGCCGGCGCGTGGCCATGTGCAAGTGCGCAGGAACGCCTCCACATTACACCGAGGAGAGCTCACCTGTGTATACACTTATGTGAATGACAAAATCGCAGAGCTTCAAGTAGTTGCCAAGTGATTTTCTTCGTCAGCTCCTCCGGTACCCTGCAAGGGGAAGAAGTAAGGTAGAACGAGGAATTCAAAAGTTCTATGAAGAGTCAGTCTAGCGTCAGATTCAGTAAGGCGCTTTTCGGTTTGGAGGGGCAGTTTGCACTTTCGACAGTTCCCCTCCTTGGTTCATGTCAAGCAGCACTTTGAATCTTGTGAAGCTGCAGAGTGGGAAAAGTGAGCCACTCTGGTTACAGTAATTTACAGGTCTTACAAGGTGCCCTATGCAAGCTAAGTTGAGTACCATTTGGTGGGCTAAGTTGAGTACCATTTGGTGCCCTCCCAAGCCGAGCTACGCCGGATTCTGTAAGGGCCAACTTCTTGGATGTGATTTGTCGTGCAGAATGCGCCATTCTGGATTCCACAAAGTGTTTCCAAGACAGAATTTTGGCAGCGATGGCCCATGCCACAATCGAGCGTCTTGAAAACGAGACTACGAGAGCGAGCAGCAAGATCGTAATTTCTTTATCAGTAATGAGGCTCAGTTCGGCTTGGTGAGGGCACCGAATGGTACTTGGTAGAGTCTGTACAGGCCACTTGTGGAAACCTGTACATTCGTGTAACTGAAATGTCTCACTTGTACCATTTTGCAGCTTCACACGAGTCTGCAGGTGATAACCTGTTACTTTACATGTACTAGCAAGAGAACTAGCGAATTAGCGAAAGTTCCCCCTTTAAGCCAATCAGCGCCCAGAAAACTTCCAAAAGAGGTCCTGAGCATGCTTGGTTCACTGCTAAGTCCGATACGTTCTACTGTTTGTCAGTCTTGAGAAAACAGGCAACAAGCTTTTGATTAAGTTCACTCCGACCATTTGGAGTATTTCTCGAGCAGGTTAATGGCAGAACCGTACGATCACAGTGCTCGAATACCAGATGCAATTTGCGATTTCGTTTGAAGACCTCCAGCAATGACACGAGATTTGGATGTTTCAGTTGCTGCAATGGCAGGATTGCGTTATGCTGAATCGTAAAATCAGAACTAAGGATTCCCAACTAAACGAGACAAGTGGATCTGTCATGTTTCACTGTTATAATCTACCACAATAAAGGGTACAGCATTGTGAGGTAATCCCAAATCATCGGAGTCTTGTTCCTATACGGGGCAGGATATTGCACAGGGGTCAACATGCTTGTACTCCTACTTCAAGGGAAGGTAACTTTTTGGTAAAGCTCCCTTTCCGCATTATCTCTGCTGATGTCCGCGCCTCGCCTCCTCTGGAACAACTCTTTCTTCTGAGAGATATCGAGCGGGATTCCAGAAGGGGATATTCTCAACGGAAGGGCGTCCCAGATACCCCAAACACAGGGTAGCTATCGGAACTTAAGAAGTGATTAAGTAAAGATTAGACAGTTTCGATTGAAAAAATCTCAATAAATGCCAAAACGTTACCTTGAGCATCCGTATTTCTCTCAAAGCGATTTTCTTTATTTGAGGGTCGTCTTCGGTTTCGAAAAACTTCTTGATGGCAACAATCTGGAAAATTACACATGATCAGTTCTACGCTTTCTTCAGTCTGTTTCCAGCTCCCGTACTAACTTCAGTCAAGTAGAAAAACAGGAACAAGTTTGGCACAGTTTGGCTTGGTGGTGGCAATAAAGCACATTCTGCACAGGTTACCTTGTGAAGACCTGTAAACTCTTGTGACCAATGTGGCTCCCTTGGATCATTCCGCTGCTTCACAAGAGTTTACACGTCTCACCAAAACGAGATCCGTTAGCTAACATGAACTAGAAAAATGGCAAAATGCCACCTAGCAGAACTGCTCCACAAGTCCTTGCTTCAAGCTTACCCAATCAGATAAACGGATATACTACGGATCTATAGTATTATTCGCTGCGAAGGCGGGGGCGTGACAGGGGCTAGGTTTGGCGAGGCACCAGCCTGTTTCCTTGCAATCATTGAAAGGGGCGAAGTAGGTGGAAACTGAGCTGGCGCCGTTCCAGTCTTAGCCTTCCCCCCCCCACCCCTCCCCACCCGTGAGGCGCCCCAGCATCCACGGCGAACAGACTCTACGTCAGAATTGAACAAAATTCGCCAGGGTTAGTTCACAATTATCGAATTTTGGGTATTTTTGTCATTTACACCTGTTCCAATTATTTTTAAATACCTAATTCATAAACGCTTACCATTCCATTATCTCTGTTCCGACATTTGTAAACGACTCCGTACGATCCTTCACCGATTTTGCCAAGTTTCTCGTATTTTTCCATGGTTTCGCACTTTCGCCTCACACCACTGAAAGAACACGGCCTCCAATCAGAACATTCAAGATGTTGCAGGAATTCCCAATTTACAATGCAAAACGAAGTGTTCGAGCAACGAAACGCTCTCTTTACTTATTCGGCGCTAATAACCTCGGGGGGGGGATACCTGCAAGCGCTTGTCAGCATAACAAGTCC